CGGTACACGACACCACAGGCGTGGCGCAGAGGCGCAGGAGCCTGAGGCAGAGGAACAGCCTGACGAAGCGTTAAAACGAGGAACAGCAAAGCTTTTTCTGTCCAGGTTGCTGGAAGAGGGCCAGGGACATTTTGCAGGAAGGCTCCGCTTGCTGTGCTCGGTCAAAGGAAGGAATTGTGACGGTCCCAGATCTTTCCTGTCAAAAGTCTGTCTCCTGCTCTCCTCATGGACCCGTCAGGGGCCGCAGAAAATGCTCCCGTAGGCGGCAAGGGAACGCCGCGGGGGGCTCGGGAGAGCAGCACTGGAAGCCCCCGCCGTGCTTTGCGGGAGGAAGATGAGAACGCAGTAAACTCGGTGCTTCTGGGGCCTGCAGCGCGGGAGGCCGCCAGTGGGAGGACGCAGTATGACGCTGACTTGGCGCTCGCACGAGCACTGCAGGTACTATCCAGGCTTTGTTGTCCTTGCTGGCTTGGCGCCTTTTGTTCTTGGGCTTTCATGTGAGGAGGTTTACCTGTGCAAGTTTGGGGAGGATGTCCTTGCCACGGAGATTGCACAGTGTTCCTGCAGGATTGTGGTCATCCGATTCCTGACTTGGAAGTGGCAGAGTGCTGATAAAGTGGTTTTCCTAACCTCCAGTCTTGTCAATAAGCAACTTGGTGCACCCGCAAGTCTTTGAAAGCTGTCATGTTCTATTTTTAGAGGCCATGCACAAATATCAGCTTTTGTTTGTTTTGTCCGTGCATGGCCAGGGTGAGTTGGAGACTGCAGTGTAACTTTTGGAGGAATAGACAGCATTGCAATACTTCACGAGATCCGCAAGCCTGTCAATCTGGCATGCAGCGCTTTGAAATCAGTGCGAATATCAGATTTCCTGCTGATGGTAGTGGTTACGATAAGCTTTCTTTGAAAATATTGAAACTTGGAGCATGCTCCCAAGTAAGTGAGCGGCAACACAGATGCTTTAGTGATGCTGCGGATGTCAATGTCAAAGCGGCTTTAGGAGATGATTCAGGCAGTGACAGCATTGTAGAAGATCAAAGTGGTGCACGAGATTCCAAGGGGCAAGGTCCTGCTTACAGACGTTGATTTGAAGAGCGGCATGAAGATCTGGAACTTTAGCAAGCCCCTTCCCGTGGTCTGTTATTTTACCCTGCTGTGGAGTCTTTGACCTCAAACCTGCTGCTACTGGAATTCTTCGAATCTAGAGGAATTTGTAGGAGTGGTTTGTTGCTGCTTGTAGGCTTCGGTGCTCCTATAAGCCCATGGGTTTCATTATCTATTTCAGATGATCTGCCTCATACTTATGGCCAAGAGGATTTGAGAGGCTTGCAGTGGCTACGTGCCCTTTTCTCTTCACTAAAGGCGCCCACATCAGAACTGCGGCACTCTTACAACAACATCTGAACCCAGCATCAGTCAAGAAGCTCTTACGTTCAGCATGCATCACCCAGCAAGTTTCTGTTACCATCTTGTGTTTGGTGCAGGAAAGCAAGATTACACCATGAACTGAATTGCACCATTATCTTTACTGACAGGAACAAGAGCGCGCATACTACCTGCTCAGGGAACAGAGCATGGCGGCGCGCAGCGCGTCCGACCTGGAAAATGACGCTGAGGGGTATGCCGGGGGGGAGGGAGAAGACGACATCTACGAAGGGGGCGAGTACGTGCCTGGCGAAGAGGGGGGAGAGGGCAGCGCCGAGGGGGCCCCGTTCGATGACGAGGCGTTTGCGAGGGCGCTGCAGGAAGCAGAGGAGCGGGAGGCGGAGGAACGAGTGATGGCGCTGGCGGGGATGAATGTTGCCTCAGGTGATGTGCCGTGTCTGGGCTGGCCTTCAATTGTAAAGACTGAAGTAGTGAAGTCGATTGGAGTGTTCCTTGAGTTGGAGTGGTCGATCTAGCCTCTTTTTCGTTTCAGACAAGGCTTTCTATGGTTGGGGTTCAGATTCCGCTGGTCGCTTCAGGTTCCCAGCTTCCGTTTGCAGAACGTTGGAGGTGCTCTTTGGATGCTCAGTTGTCAACCCACGTCTTTTCTGCACGTTGTCTGCTTAAGTCTTCTTTGCACATTGTCAGCCCACGTCTCTTCTGCACGTTGTCCGCCCATGTTTCTCCTGCGCGTGTCAGCCGAGCAGCTTGCAAGCTGGTCACTGAAACGTGTGCCCCTATCGACCACAGATGACGCGTATGGGAGCGAGGATGAGGAGGACGACTGGGAGGAGGACGGCATCGATCCAGACAATATGACTTACGAGGTGGGCAGGTTCTTGATTCGATTGGTTTCAACCCCCTCTGTCGCAAGTCCGTAAGAGTGTCTGTTTTGTTTGGTTAGTGCTAAGGAGTCCGTCTGCTGAAAGCTCGTGTTTGAATTGTGTTTGGCAAGAGCTTGTGCCCGACGGTCCGGTTTGGTAAGAGCGAGTGTCCGAAGGTTGTTTGTTAAGGCTTGTTCGAAGTTTGTACTGTTGCTAGGTTTTCTCAAGTGCCCACATGCTGACGCAATGTGCTGGCCTGATGTTTTAGGCGATTGTAACGTACCTGGATACGACCCACGTCAAAAGTGATCCTTCTTGAGCTTGTTGCAGTTGCAGAACATCAAGTCCGACCAGCGCAGTAACTTGCCGTTTGCACTTCCTTGGAATGGCTGTCAGCTTCTGCTAAGCATTTCATACTCTTCGTTCACGGAAGTTGCCTCTCGGTCCGATACAAGGTAACGAAAGGTCAACAGCAATCTGTTCGGAATCCTTCCTGACCAAGGTTGACAACTATTCATATTTACTGGACATCCTTCTACCAGTGATCCGTGCTGACAAGCACAGCCCTTCCTTCATAATTTCGATATTCTATCCTCCGAAATTCATTAGCGCCCAATCCGACGGCAGAAGAGCACAAGTTGAACCCTTGATACATGTTCCACCCGATTGATCCGTTCAATCGGTTGGCGGCGCCCTATGCCCACTTTACTAGATTTATTAGGCGTTAAGTGGCACTGGTGACACTTGAGTGCAAGAGAATATGTTCGTTTGCGGACCATATCGCATCTTGAGTTCTGCCTCGGGCGCCCGTTATGCCCAGCTGCCCCGACTCTAGTCGTCAGGCTCTACAGGTCACACGGCGCTCTGTGTTAATTCCGCCTGCATTTTTGCTGAGCAGGATTCGACGGCGCTGGCAGAGGTGGTGGGTAGCAACGTTGCCGGTATGATGCTGTATGCCCGATTCACCATTTTATTATCATCTTTGGATTACTGAGTCACTCGAATTCTTGATGCTGTCTGCTTTTCCGGTGTGCAGGAGCTGACGGCGCTGGCGGAAGTGGTGGGCAGCAACGCTGCCGGCATGGCGCCATGTGCCTGATCTTAGCATTTCATTATCATTTTTGGACAAATGAGTTACTGATCTTTGAGGCTGCCTGCTTTTCCGCTGTGCAGGAGCTGACGGCGCTGGCAGAAGTGGTGGGCAGCGAGAGCAAGGGCCTCCCCGCGGAGGCGATTGCGCGGCTGCCAAAGAGCGCCTACAAGGCGACGCGCCGGCGGAGGAGCTCCTCCAGCGGCCAGGAACAGTGAGACACCTGTTCCTGCAAACCTGTTAAACGATCGCTTCTCGTTGGGTTCAGTTGTCTGATCAATCTTCCGGCATTATCTTTTACTGGGTTGGTCGTCGTTTCTTTCTTTGTCTGGGTTGTATGCTTCGGTTGGAAGACCGCCGCTCATAACCAGGGGCAAAGTTAGTTTCCAAAAATGGCCAAAGAAGTAAGAGGATTTGTCCTGGATACTTTGGCTGAACTCTTTTGCCTCGAAACCACCATTCTTTTTGGCGCTATTCTTCCTGATCCATTGCAAAATAGTTTTTAAGGTTGGAGTGAATCTGCACGAGATCCTGTCCGGTCTTGCTGCAAAACCGTGCTTTCTTTAGGTTACTCGTGTAGCACAACCTGCCTCTTTTCGAGTTGATGTTTATTTCTGAGGTCCAACTTCGCAGTCAGAGACGGTTTTTTCAAAACTGAGGATCTTAGTACCTTTTGTGTGCTGTCTGTAGCTTGAGAAAACGCTGAAATCAAAGTAGAGTTGTTGGGGTGTCTGCAACGTCAAAACATTTAGGTCTGACTCCTGTCAACCCGTTGATTGCTGCACCTATGCTTATGCCTACTCTCTTACGCCTGACCGGAGCGTCGCATGCATGCTGAGCTGACTGGATCAAGCCTAGGACGTTGAGAGGCGACGTTTTCAATTGGGAACACTGAGCTAAGAGGATTTTCTGGACTGCTTCCTCGTGCTACTTTTCTTGCCAGCGTCAGGGCTCGCTGGCAACTCTTTTCTTCGGCATTTGCATCCCTTCATCTGCATGATGAAGTGGTTCCAGTCATGCTTCGGTCGAAGACATTGTTGTCGGGAGCACTTTCCGTCGTCCTTACAGTCATTTGGCAAGACCCTAACTGCCCGGGGCTGCTGGTTGCACTTCGTGTAGCAACAATCACAAGTCTCTCGAGCAGAATTGGCAGTGACGTGCTTATGCAGTGACGTTGCTCCTTGGATGTCACTGAATACCATTTCGGACCGAAGCCAGAGTCAAGAACAATTCTAAATCCTCATCTGAGGATGTCTGATCAACCTTCTCGACTTTGCCAGACTTGCGGGCCAGTTACGCCAGTCACCAGGTTGTAGAATGGGACTGTCGGTTCATAATTTCCGCATTCTGACCTCTGAATGTGCCCAAATGAGCAACGTTTCCTCAGATTGTCTCCTACCTGACCGTTTTGTCTCGGTGGGTTTTTTTTTCTGGTCTTTTCTCTGCCTTTCGTTTGAGAATCATATTGTCACAAGGCATGGAGTCACTGGAGGGGGTCCACACCAAAGCACCAGATCAGAACGCAAATGGCAAATGCTTGCTGACCTGCAAGTCGTTGGTGAAGATGCTGGCACATCCGATATTTCAGCTTGTCAGCCCATCTCCTGCTGCCTGAAGCCACTTTGTCCTATCGCTTGCATTGCTCATCACCCATTTCTGCGAAGACTTCAATGATAAAGCGCAAATTCGTTGTCCTTGCCGGGCCTCATGCTGGTTCTGATTCGTTTGCTGGGTTTGCAGAAAGTGTATATTAGGTTCAGCACAATCGAAAATTGTGGATTAATGTTGTTCTGAAAGCAAATCATCACGTGGCTTGCTTCGGCTGTTCTGCTGGGAATAGGAAGAGCTGGCAGCCCTTGCGGCAAGCAACCACGGCCCCCTTGCAAAGACAAGGAACTCGTGGTGTACTTTGAGAGTGAAAGTGTGGCATGTGGCACTTCTTCGCTGGATCAAAGCGCTTGCTGTGCTTGAGACTTAACTGTTGCGCCTCGTCCATCTATTCATCGTCACGATCTTATCATCCGTTACACTTGAATCTCCTCGTCTTGCTAGCACGTCAAGTATTCGTTCCACTGAAAGTCCACCCCTGTTAACAAAGAAGATACTGCAGCACATAGGAAACGGTGCAGGAGGCACGCCTGCGCTCGACTGCTTAGCTTTTCCAACTGCACCCGTGAGCAGACAACTTACAGAACGTTTGAAACCTAGAAAAACCTTGAAGTCGCATCATTTCGCACTCAGATTCTTGCCGGCCAGGATAAAGCCCTTGGTGACGCTGATGGCTCGCTACTCTGCAACATTTCCTTGATGCTGGCTATCGAAAGTTGGAGTGATTTTGCAACCACCGCTGTTCCTGTTCGGATCTGTTGAGCGAGAACTTTTGCACATTGATTGCCCGGAGGTTTGCCCTGCGAAATCCGTCAGTTATGCGGAAATCTCAGGCTATTGAAAAGTTGCATCATCTGTGGTCCCTTGACACGCGCGTCGGTATCTTGATTGCTTCTCAGCATCATGCATTCGGAAGCGGGCAATGACGAGATGGGCATAGTCTGGCGGGCTGAGGAACGCCACACCTCTATGCAGGCTTCCACTGACCCGATTTGGAGCCATTCTCGCTGCGTTGCTCGTTTGATCACATCTGCTTGAAGTTTTGTGCCCTTGCCAGTGTCAGTCGGCGCAACCGTGTCCTGCGCTGATCGACGAACTTCCTTTTGACGTTCGGTTGCCAACTCAGTTATCCGACAAGCATCCAGAGTTTTGCTCCTGCGCTAATCTTTTGCCGATGATGGAAACGTGTTGAGTGTTACTCGGGTCGAGCTGTGGTTTGGCTCCGTTTGCTCCTTGAAGCAAAAAGCGAACAAAGGACGGTGATCGGCAGTGAAGACTTGAGAAGCTTCTGACGTCGCTCTGCATGCCGAGACGGCTCTTGGACAAGCTCAGAAGCTGGCTTTGCAATTCTGACGGCAGGGTCTAATCACCTTCGCCGAGATGCTTCGCAGATACAGGCTGAAAAGGCTGTAGATATCCGGCACTCCAGGCGTTTTGTTTTGTAAACATTGCTGGTCGCAGGGTCGGAAAGAGCGACGTTCCGTTTTTTGCGACGTGCTTTGCTCACCAGTTCGTTCCGATTCGACTGCTATAACGGTTCGAATAGTCTGCTTTTCATCCGGATTCCTGTGCACACAAACCAAGCCGGCTGCGATTGCAAGTGTCGCGAGTGAGCTCTCGCTTTTTGGACGGCTGCCACTGAAGACGCCCTGTGGCAACCAAGTCAGACGGCGGTTTCGTTTGTTCCTTTGTTCGTCTGTTTGCCGCGGTCAATATGCGAGTTCTTGGTCGAAGCTTGAGCATAAGGTCCCTCGTTGATGTCGCCTGGACATTGCATCCCAAGGATGTCTCACCGGAATTGCCTCTGTCTTTCCCGTTCTTTCTACTGACCGCCGTGTTTCAGCTGCGAATCTGGCACAGCTCGGTCACGGTCCTCTGGTCTCATGCACGCACCATTTTAGTTGCCAGCTGCATCAACGGCTGAACAGTGGGCGTATGAGTCAGACCTGCTGCACATTCTCATCATCCTGAAAGATGCACGGGAGTTGTCTGGGACACATTCAAAATTCTCGGCAAGGATGACTGGATAGCGCATGATGCGTAACATCAAATGTGAACTTCCCCCAGTCTGAAGCCTTGCTTAAGCTATGACCATGTTATGTTTCCAAATGCGCCCTTTCGGCTCTTTCACAGAAGCTATCATTTGCCTTCCGGATCGCTTTTGGGCATTCGCGGTGTAAGCATGCAGACTGCTTCTTCAGACCTAGGCGAATGGAATTGAAGCTCCTTCTCTGATCAGCAGCTCAATAGCGCGGAGTCTTGAACGAAAGAGTCTCGTTGCTGCCGCAGGTGCGTCATCTGCCGGGTGGAGTTCGAGGATGATGACGTCATCACGACGCTGCCGTCGTGCAAGCACCACTACCACTCCCCCTGCATCGAGCAATGGCTCTCCATCAACAAGGTCAGCCTCAGAAACCTGCCACCTTGTCTTTCCTTTCCTTTCTCCTCTTTCTTGACAAAGCCCGTTGAAGCCCACAACCGTCCGAGACTTCGCTCCAGTCTCCAATCCTCAGTCGGCGGATGAGAGAAAGACGAGCCGACTATCCAGTTCTATGAAAATGTACCCTCGACAGCTGTTGAATGTTACGGTTTGGTTTTGGTCACATATGCTGGCGGATGCAGGGCTGTTGGCCGCAGCCATAACGAAATTAACCTTATAAGTAAGGACTTCACCGTAGTCAGACCCCTAGCACGGCCGTCTTTCCAAGCGGTCACCGCAGTAATGATGCTAGTCCCCGGCACAACTTTGCAGCCGTCTCGTGACGGGAATCGTCACTATATAATTCCTGGAAAGACCGCGATGTTCCGTCCCAGATCTGGCCGATATGCACACTGATAGATAGGTTGCTTCTCAGAATCGGATATTATGGGCAAAGAGTGCCACAACTGTGACCTCCTCTCAACGTATTTCATCAGTAGGCAGATGGAGGAAACGGCTTCCCTTGCAGCATGTTCACAACTTGAAGCCTTTGCGATGGTAAAGTGGGTAAACAATGATCTGCTGAGATCCTCAACTGGATCCTGAAAATTTATACCCAAGGGCTTACACTTTTGATACTTGCGTGCAGTTGAGCGGTGGGGTACTCAGAAGCACTCCCCCAAATGCTGCTAGTTGTCCTATTTGTTCGACGATTCACTTTTGGAGCGGACAAAGGCTACCGAGCAGATGGGTCTTCTTTCAACGAAGACATCCGCCCGCTTTTCCAAATCCGAGCGTCAAAGCTGAACTGGCGACTGTTTTTTCTCTGCAGATCTGCCCTATGTGCCTGACAGAAGTGACCCCAATGAAGAGTAGAGCTGCGAGCAGGCGACCCTCTCACCTCGGCGCGGCAAAGTCTGAGCCGTCCAGTAGTGACTCCAAGTAAGGTCCTCCTTGGGAAGTCAGAGTAGGCCTTATGTAGATGAAGCTGAAACCCAGCTGTCAAATTGGCGGCGGTCATATTGAGTAGTGGGTTAACTAGATTAAGGGGGGCCTAGGAATGCAAAGACCTGTACTTTCGGCCTCCAAAGATGCATCGTGGAACTACCTTTTGAGTATGCACTCATGGAAGCTTACGTTTCCTTCTCTTCTCGTCCGGTTCTCCTATTTGCTCATGGCCTTTGTGGTTGCACCTGGGGCTACCAAACCCAGCTCAAGATCTGCGATTGCGAAGCCCATTGCTTTTTGAATCCAAAAATCTCTGCTAGTCAGCTATTGAGTCTTCGGCTCTTTGTACATACGGTCAGCCCTAGTTGTTTGGTCGCATCCTTTTCTGTGGGTCGACCTCAATACATGAGTCTTTGCAAAACATACGGTTGCAAGCTGTCGGACCCCATCATTCGATTGATCCGACCTGATCCAGATTGCATTGTCCACTTTGTACACTGGGTCGCATGTTGGTGGCCGAGCCCGATTGTCACGGTGCTCACTAGCGGTTCCCTCGATATCTAGGGCGATGAAGAGCGGACTTTTGATGCAACGTCACTTGACGAAGTCACCACTTGCGGAGACACTCTTGTCCGCTGAAGCCTTACTTGCGGCCTGCTGGCCTCTGATACCCGTGTGTAAATTCTGTTGAATAACATCTGTGCCTTACGATCAATCAGTGCGATCGACCATCTCCAGCTAGCCTCTCACACGTACAGCTAGCGATAAAACCAGCGGGTGTGAAGTACGGAGCGCCTTTTTGCGAAGCCAGGTTGGCCTTGTTTGTGGCGCTCGCACCAGAGCTCGTGATTAATAGCGTCACCGTCAATGGAAAGTTGGCCTCAGCCCAATGATGGCAGCTTTGTCAAGATCGACTCAGTGAGGCAGAGTCAGGAAAGCGGTTGATCGAGGCTCGAGTCTTGGGATAAATAAAGAACCAGGTTCTGACTTGGTCGTCCCACAGACGGCTTTTCCACCCGAGCTTGTCATCCATGTCTGAATCTTTTTGCCTTCAGATGTGCGCGGTGACTTTCCGTGTGACTAAACGGTCTCAGAGAGATTTGTATAAGAAGACTGCTTGAATGCGGAGAATCCATTCGAGGAGGTGGAGCCGGCAATGATAACTAGAAGGGATGTTGCGCAACGTCGTGACATTGGTGAAGGAAACGAAGCCGGTCCAAATCTACAGCAATTGCTCCATCCTCATCCGCGGATATGTGATAGCTAGTTGTCGGAATCACGGAAACAAGAGCGCCAACCTGATTTAGAACAAACCAGATTTTGCCCGGCCCGTATTTTCGGATTGGTAAGCAGTGCAAGAGCTGCTTCAATTTCAATTCAAAATGCCTGAGATTAGCTCAACGATCCTGTTTTCGGCTGGTAGTAGATGCCAAAGCCAGCTTCTCGTCCAGTTTTTATACAAAGCCTTGTGGAGAATTTCCGACGCTCTGATCAGTAGCTTGCCGTCAGTGCTTTTCTAAGAGATTCTGCACCGTAAGAGCAAGCCGTCAGCAGTCTGAGCTTGTTGGCGGAACTTGTCACTTGGATATTTCAGCCAACATGTTCGAGATTCTCAGATTGGTCGGGTTCTTAACAATCTGCTCGAGCAAAATCCCTAGGCCTTGCTTGAGTCCGTTATGCACGTGACGTGCCGCGCTCTGAAAACGTGCTGCAAGGTCTGCCTTTGAACCCCCTTTGACTTAGCTGGCTCTGTCGTTCATCTCACCCCTGGCCAACGATGCAAACTAGCGGCACTCCTATGCCGCGAATCTCCAGAGCACGTTCCGCGCGGTTTCCGTCCTACTAGTTCCTTGCTGTTCAAGGCATTACTCAAGGAAAGGAGGCGAGGACTGATGGGCAGCCATTGACGTTACTGCAAAACGTCAAGGTTGATCGTACATCAATGAGGCCGTCTCAAGAAAGCAGATTGGTGGTGTGTCGGTCCACTTGAGCGTCCATCTGATTGGCTTTGTACGGGCCAAGGAGGACGGTTGAGAATGACGCAGGTTTTGCAAGTCCGCTTTCTAGCTTCTGAGTCTTCGCAGCAAACTACGGCCCCTTATCGGTCCACCGTGACATAGCAAAGTTCTCTCGTTGAATGAACTGTGAGAATGTTTGAGCCAAAATAGCCCTATACTTGTGCAGCTTTTGTCTGGAGGCATGCTTTGAGTGGGCGAGTACGAAGTGACCCCTTTGGTGTCCAGCCAAGTCTGGACCATCAATGTAGAGGTGTTTTTGTATAACCTGAAGCCGGTTGTGCAGATTTGCATGAGTTCATGTCTTTGACGGACCTTTAGCTAAAGTGGCAGGCGGTTGCTTTTCTGTCTTAAAAAAGGGTTTGCTTCGCTTCGAGGAGCGGAGTCTGTTGAGTTTGTTAGATCCTTCTTGGCAGCAGTGACCGTAATTGGGAAGCTCTACATTCTTTGGTGGCGCAATCGTTCTGATTCTTTGGCCGCCCTTGGTCGTCGAGGCGTATCAATCCTTCATTCTAACAACTCCTGACTTTTTGGCACTAAGTGATCCGGAGCCTTGAAGGCTTCCTGACACTTCTCGGAGCGGAGAGGCTTCGAGGATTCACATATCACTCGACCAGCGTTTATCCTAGCGTGCGGTTAGGGTACGCACCAATTTTAATACGCCTCGTTTTTGGTGTCCTACCCACTCGTTTAGCTGTACGTTGTCTGAAACCGTGATGCAGGTTTCTCGTTGCTTTTCAATGTTCTGATTCTGCTTTGGTCTCCAAAGCTTTGCAGCTTGCATGGTGACTGCTTCAGCAATTCGAAGGCTATGATAAGCAAAGCAAACTCCGGGACTTTCGGTCTCATCCAGCGGCTCGGAGCATTTGACTGAAGCGATATGAGTCTACCTTATCCAAATACAGAGGACCTCGCACTGCACGTACGCGCTAAGGTTGTTTCCATCCGGAACAACTGATTGCGGAGGAGTCTCTCGGGTCGTTGAATGAATCTATTCAGTGAATCGAGGTATTTCGGAACGTTCACATCAGGTCTCGATTCTGAAAGTCAGCGTTTTTCAATTCTTAAGAAAACCGTTGGTTAGCTCGTTTCAGTCACGCATGTTTCGAGTCCACCGGGATTCTGCAAGGCCGTACTTTTGTCGTTCATTTTTCCTACTCGTGGCACGCCGTGCCAACGAAATAGAGAAGGCTCTGTTGTTAAGGAGGTGGCGTTCGCACGAAGAGGCAATGAAGGATCCAGCTGGGATGGAACACTAAACTTCCCATCTTCACTTGGTTTGGTTTTCTCCTGATGCTCTTGAATCGGCGCTCCTGTGTCCCCGTGTCTACGTCACGATTCTCATGTCCAGTTGGGGCCAGTCATCGAAAGTCGCTCAGTCTGGTGCTCTTTGTGGGTGCTAAGGATGGATCCGTCTTTGACAGACAGCGGCGACGTTGTCGCGCTCCATCATGATGCATCGGTGCGTGCGCTTCTCTTTTCGTGTTGACGTCTACACCGCAACTCGCTATATAGCTGCCGAAACTCGCTGAACGGGATTGAAACCCGGGTGCTTCAGCGACTGCCGATTGGTATTTCAGCATCTGACCCGACGGCATTTACAAGTCGATCAATGAGATTCTTGGAGCTTTTTCCGCTCGTTAGTGTGTAACCTGTGAGGATACCAGTAGTGCAGTTAGCCAGAAACGTACGGTAAACCCAAGCTGTTAGTCTAGTTATGGTAGTAGAACGAACTCGTGACGTACCATCTCATCTCATGTAACCGAACTCAAAAGCTCCAGGCTTCAGTACGGGATTGTTAATTGATGTATGTATGTATGTATCTTGTACTTTTGATATTGAGTGGCTGCTCATGAAATCGCTTCGACGGTTCTCAATGATCGACGCGGTACGATCGCGAAGCGTTTCAGTCCTGCACCACATGTCGTCCCTAGCTCATGCAGTCAGTCGAGATCCTGATCACTAGGTACCTCATTCATGACTCTGGAATTCGAACAGGATTTTTGCAATATTCTTTTGTCCCCGAGGGTGTTTGAGCGGGGCGTATAGGAAGAGACGATTCAAATGGATGGGCTAAAAGTGCTCGTGACCTCAGGTCTCCTTACCGTCCCCAGAAACCAAGTTCTAAACCGCAAGTCCCTTATAGCTGAAGACCTTTTCCCGGGTGGCCGCGTGAAGATCAGCTTGTTGGGCAGCTGCTCATCAGAACCCGAATACCTGAAGCCCGCTTTCTCGTCTGCTTGCGCTCTTGTGATGCCATCCTGTTTCGTTTTTATGGCTGCGCATTGGCTTGCGCGGGTGTAATCAGCTAGAACCTTCTCGAAGTCGGATGTCTGTGAGTCTAATCATTGGCGGACTGAAATTCTTCCTGCTACCGTACGATTTTGCGCATCTGATCAGAGCCGCAGTTTTCAGGAGCCTTGCGGTTCTAAAGTACCAGCTTCGTATTCCAGAGAGCTTCTCGATGGCATCTCCACAACATCGCATTGTTTCTTACCCGAGTCCAAACGAGGTCTACATTTGTCCCGTGCGCACGCCGGTAAGGGCCGACATATCGTGCTCAAAGTCCTTGAAGCGTCGCCTTCTCGTAATGCTTCTGCCACTGGTGCTGATCCTCAAAAAGAAATTGAAATTAAAATAAGAATTAAACGGCCTAATTCGTTTTGAGGGCAAGGTACTTGAAGTTATATTTAGCGGCGAAGAGTAAGGGATTCGGCAGTGAAGCGTGAGGCGTGGCGACGCTCAGTAAGCACGCCACAAGCTGGCTCGAATGGGCGTGGACGGATGCCGGGAAATACTCCAACACATTCCCTATGCGGAGCACTCAAGAAGCCTCGTGGAAAGTCGAGCATCAGTTGCTCTCTGACGAACATCAGATATTCTGGGCAGATACGATTTGAAAGTTTGAAGTCTTTACGTGCGCTTGTACGATCTCTGGTTGCGAGCTGGGCATTTCAAACGCTACATTTCAAACGCTAGTACAGGTACCCAGAAGGAGGTGGACTTTCTGCAGCCTGAAAGATAAGCTACGTCTCTGTTCTTCGTTGAGGATGGTTTCGAGGGACGGCGCCATTTTGACACGAATGTGAGAATCTTCTCAAGTAAAGTAATCAGGCCCTTCGTAGACCAGGGCATTGAGAGATCCAGCTGCCAGATGGGCAGCCGTCTTTCTGATGAAAGGGAATCTACTAGGGGCAGGCCT